TTATACTTTTCCAGCTTACAGTCTGTAAGCTTTTTTAATACCCTGAAAGTCTGCTTCACATACTGTGATTCATGTTTGAGATAATGTCTCTTTTTTTTTTTTTGGTACTGGTGATGGAACTTGTGTCCTTGCGCTTGTGCAGCAGGCGGTGAAACCACTGAGCTAAATCCCTGGCCCAAGATAGTGTCTCTTGCCCACATACTTTTATCCTGAGTTCTCTTGTTCCAAACAGATACCAGTATCACCTCATGTAGTAGAGTGTTCATATATGTAGATATACAAAGAGGCCAGGCACCATGGTGTAATTCATTGTAGCAGCAGATTGGGAAAGTAGAGAAGGCCCATTCAACAAAAACAACAATGATGTTGAGAAAAAATTTCAAAATGTTTTTAGTGCTTCTTGCTGAAATTAAAATAACTGCACCTTAAACCTTTTGTCTATGCCTACTTTAGGAACAGAATATTAGCAATGTTTTAAGTATGTTATCCTCTTCTTCCTTATTTTAATACGAAATGGCTTATTTGACATTTAAAATTTTTTATTACAGGTTTTAAGCATTTAAAAAAGCATACAGAGGAATATAATTGCTCTTCATGAACCTACCACTTGCTCCCAATCACTGTGAACCTGTCTTCAGTTCTGCCCTGTCCATTTCTCTTGCTCTCGTATTGAAGCAAGTTCTAAGCACCCCATATTTTAATATGAATTTTAGTAGACAATATGGACTCTAAAAATATAAAGAATATTTCATACCTAAAAAAATAATATTCCTTCATGTTACATATTCATTCACTATTAATATTCACTAGTTCAAAATACCTTAAGTGGTTTTCCTTTTTATAGTTAGAAAAAAAATCAGGACCCAGATAAGTTCCGTACCTTAAAATTAATGGGTAAACAGGTTCCTTTTCACCCTTTTTCTCCCTTGCAATTTATGTGTTGAAGAAACTAGATTGCTTGCCAGTTTCCTAGTCTTATGTTTCATTCACATAATGTCTTTAACATATTCCTTTTCCCTTCTAGTGCTTGTGAATATGTTAGGTGTAGAGGCTTAATCTTAGCATGTTTGGTACATCTACTTCATAAGGTAGTGCAATTACCTTCCTTAGGAGGCCCAGTTGTGTGACTTTCTCTTTGTGATGCTGTAGCTGGATGCTTAGATCTCATAGTTAATTAGGGGGTTGTGCAGTAGGATATTCTGATTTTATCATTACTGATCTATTTATTTACTTTTATTATACAGCTTTGCTAAGATACAGTTATAATTCATCTATCTAAAAGTATACAGTTCAGTGGTTTGTAGTATATTTAAATATATATGCACCCACCACCACACACCCTTTTAGAATATTTTTAATGACCTCATAAAAAAACCACATATCCATTAGCTATTATCTTCTTATCTCCCCCTTCTTCTACTCCCAGCTCCAAGTAACCACTGATTTACTCTGTATCTATATATTTCCCTATTCTAGACGTGCTTTTTTTTTCTCTATTTTTTTGGTACCAGGGATGGAACTCAGGACCTTGTGCTTGCCAGGCAGGCATGGTGTCACTGAGCTACATCCCCGGCCCTCTAGACTTTCATATTAATGGAATCAATCATATGTGGTCTTTTGTGATTGACATCTTTCACTTAGCCTATTTTCTGAGTTCATCCATGTTGTAGCATATATCAGAAGTTCATTCCTTTTTATAGACTATTAGTATTCCATTGCATGAGTATGCCACATTTTGTTTATCCATTTGTATTGATGGACATTTGAATTGTTTCTCCTTTCAGTTTTAGGAATGATATTGCTGCAACTACCTGTGTACAATGTTTTGTGTGAACATAATATTTTTTTTCTCTTAATTATCTATGTAGGAGTGGAACTTTTGGATCATGTTGTAAATCTGTGTATAGCTGTTGAGGAATGCCAGACTGTTTTCCAAAACAGCTTCACCATTTTACATTCCTTACTCGTAGTACATGCAAGTTCTGATTTCTCTACATCCTCACCAGCAATTACTATTATCTAACTTTTTACTTCTAGCCATCCTAGTGGCTAGTCTCTGAGAGACTAATGATTTTTTAACATATTTTCATGGGCTTATTGAGAGATCTTCATTGGAGAAATGTCTGTAAGATCTTTTGCCCATGTTGTGATTGGTTTTTTTGTCTTATTGAGTTGTGAAAGTTGTTTATATTTTAGATATAAATTTCTTATCAGAAATATAATTTACAAATAATTTTCTGTCATCCTGCAGGTTGTCTTTTTACTTTCTTCTGCTTTATTAAGTTTATCTTTAAACAAACTTATTAATCAGATAAAATAGTTTACAAAGGAAAGGCAAGAAAAACTTCACTCTCTGCCTTTATTTATGAATTTTCAAAATTAGGAGTTTGTTTAGCATCCTTTCATAGTGACCAATTGCTTGTTTTCTTTTAAAAATATCATTATGAAACCATGAGTTCAAACATTTGATGTTCTTAGTGCATTGGTAGCTTTTATTTTTGACATTTCACTTTTTTAATTGTCCCATTTTATGAACTTCTTCACATTGATTTCCAAGTACTTTTTTTATTATTATTAATTTTTTGGTACCAGGGATCGAACTCGGGTCCTTGTGCTTTTGCAGCAGGCGGCGAAATCACTGAGTTAAATCCCCGGCCCATCCAAGTACTTTTAATGAATACAAATGTAGCTGGTAGCTTTTTTGCTTTCTGACAGAAGATCGTCCCTTCTCAATCTTGTACATTTTCTGTCCTTGACCTGAAATCTGCCATTTGTCTAAGGAGCCCTAGTCCTCTTTTAGTGGAGCACTGTGGGTGCTAGGGGTGCTCATTGCTTCTGAGTTGTTTATATCTGGGAAATATATAAGTGGGTTGTTTTGGTTACAGAATATATTGTGAGTTTGTTCTTATTGTTTCAGTTTATATTTATGACTTTAGGGATTTTAGTTTATTTTTTCTATTGTACATCTGTATCTCCTTTTTTTCACATTGCAATTCCTAGTTCTCAGTCATTGGGGATGATAGTAGTTATATTATATTATATTCTTCTTTTTTTTTTTGTTACTGGGGATTGAACTTGGGACCTTATGTTTGTTTGCTTTATTTCACACGACCCAAAATAGCAGTACTATTGGTTAAAAAGTGGGTTTGGTTTGGCTTTTATTTTTGCCAGTAGGCTATGTATAGCCAAAGTACTGCTTTGAAATGTTACTTGAAATAGTTTGTTTTCTTATGCTACTAGCTAGACATACAGTTTATTTCATTGCATTTTTATCTTCAATATGTAGGACCTGCTTTGCAAATTTTAAGTTTTTACTGTAAAAAACACAACATAAAATTTAGCATTTTAACAATTTTAAAGGGTGCAGTTTACTAGTGTTAAGTATATTCATTGTTGTACATCAGATCTCCTGAACTGTTTCATCTAGCAAAACTAAAATTCTATATCCATTAAACAATTCCCCATTTCTTTCTGTTCTTGGCAACTACATTTGAACTTTTGGTATCTATGAATTTGATTGCTTTAAGTACTTCTTATAAGTAGAATTATACAACATTTGTATTTTTGTACTGACTTATTTTACTTAGCATAATGTCTTCATGGCTGTGTTGTAGCATGTGATGAGTTCCTTTATTTTTAAGGTTGAATAAATTACACTATATGCAAACTACATTTTGTTTATTCATTTGTTGATGGACATTGGGTTGTTTCCTTAGTAAATGCTTTTAAAGTGTAACTTTGTCTTACTATATATATATACAGAATATAAATTTTGTCCCACAAAATCAAAGCAGCAAACATCTTTGAAAAAGATAATCTTCCGTATCTTCATCCTATTTTTGTCTTTTTACAGAATTTAAAAATTTAATGGTTTATCTTTGCATTTTTTTAAACCAAGAAGATATATTAATCATTTTTAGTCAAAAAGGATAGGTACATACAATGATGGCGAAACTTTTAGAACTTTCAATGATAACAAACAGCCTCTGTGGCACATGTGCCATAGGTTTGTCACCACTGGGTACATACATCATTCAAAATACAATACATATGAATTAAATATATTTGTATCATTCCTAGAAAATGGTAGAACAGTATACATACTGTTCTGTATCTTTTTATCACTTTCTCCTAATAGTATAGAGAAATCTTCCTCATTCTTTTTCACCATGCATAGTTATAGTTAGGCTATTGTGTGGACAGTTAATTCCACCAGTTTCCTAGTCATGGACATTCAGGTTGTTTGCAGTGTTATAAGTAATCCAGCAAAATAATCCATAATACTGTATTGCATTAGGACTTTTTTTTTTTTGCAAATTTACCTGTAATAAAATGTCCTAAGAGTGGAATTCTGGGTTGAAAGCTATGTGTTTTTATGTGATATCACTAAATTGTATGTAAATGTTTTGGACTTTTACTAGTGTTTTTGTTAGAAATATGGTTTTAGTTTGCATATTTCTTCATATGAACATCCTCATACTCAGAGGTGTTTTTATTTTTCTGTAAACTGCCCATTTGTTCAGTCTGTTTTTCTGTGTAGCTAGTATTCTTTTTAAATTTTAGAGATTTTGAGTATAATCTGTCCAATATAAACTACATTTTTTGTAGTGTGTCATTATCTTTTTACTTTGTGGTATCTTTTACCAGTCAAAAGTTTTAATTTTTATGTAGTTTAATTTATTGCCTCTTCCTCTTATTAAGGTTTTAGATTTTTGCATAGTAGCATTTTTAGCATAGTAGCTTTCACTCACTCTTTGGATACTTACTTTTTATTAAATGCCTGCATAGTTTGTTCTCCTTTTCTGTTTATCCCATATGAGATGAAAATTTTACAGTGTTTGAACCTTTCTATTGAATTTATAGTTGTTGTAGGTTATTCTAAATCAGCAGTTCAGAGGCATTTCTGAATGTCATACTTGGTGGCTTCTTTGTTGTATTGCATATATTCAAATTTGTTGTATGCCATGTCCTGTGTAATGATGCCATTTGTTTTTTAACAGGAGTTGGAAAGGCAGAAACATATGTGTAGTGTGCTGCAGCATAAGATGGATGAACTTAAAGAAGGCCTTCGGCAAAGAGATGAGCTTATTGAGGTATGTAGTAAACTATGGAAATACTTAATTTTGAAAAAAATGAGTTGGATAGAATAAAGTTGTATATGTGTTGGGAGAAGAAAGTTAAAATCTACAAAGAGTCACTTTGCTCTCCACATTTGGCTGTCTCCTAAAATTTTTCAACATAAGCTATAAAAGCAGGCCTGTACCCCCTTTAATAGCAAAAGCTTTTGGTTAAGTGTCTTTTATTCCTAAGCACACTCTTTCCTGAAGATATCGTAGGAAATGGAAAAAAAGAAAAATGACATAATAACATTATTCTTTGGAACATAGTGAATACCACTTTCTTGGATATGATTCTTGAGATGTAGTAAGTTAAACGTTCCTCAGTTAAATACATTTATAAGGTAGCTAAATGAAAAAGAAAATTGTCAAGAGCTGTGCCTCATGTACAAAAGGTGAAGGTTGGGTAGTGTAGAGGTTTAGGTTTTTGCCACCTTGTCGGTAATATCTTAAGTGGAATAGAGTTAGTCCACCACTAACTTTTTTTTTGAGACAGGGTCTCTCTCTGTAGTTCAGGCTGGCCTTGTTCACTATATATAGCCCAGGCCGGTCTCAAACTCGAGGCCAAGCAGTCTGTTTGCCTCAGCCTCCCACCTGGCCTTTTAAAAAGTATTTATCATCCTTGTGGCCCTACTACCTTGCATGTATCTCTGTTCTTCTTTCAATGTGGTTTTTTCCTCCTGAAGTTGAAGTCTGAAGAGGATCCTGCCCATTATCTAGGTGTGGTTATCAAAGGCTTCTAAGGTTAATTAATTTAATGTTGTTGACATGTTAGTGATACCAGGAAGGCCAGCTTTTAATGATCCAAGGGAAATAGCTCACTACACTTGTGCACATTCCTGTCTTTCCTTTTTTTTCTCTTCACCTTTGGACCTGCAGTACTTAATTTTTTCCTTGTAGATGACCTACAAGAACCACTTAATAGAGGGGGAAAAATGACTTTTTTTTGGTACTGGGGATCGAACTCGGGTCCTTGCGCTTGTGAGGCAGGCAGTGGCACCACCCACTGAGCTAGATCCCTGGCCTATGACTATCTTTTTTATTTGTGAATTGGTGTAGTTTTTATGACATTTAAGAAAAATAAAATCGAACAGCTGGAATTTATAGATTCTAAATGCAGATACAGGTAATCCTTTGGATCTGTCAGATATGTGAGTTTGTTTTGCTCATTTTTTTCACATCTGGTAGGAAACATTATCCAAATTTTGTATCCTACTGCTATTTAAAAATAATGTGAAATCCTTTTCCTTTTGTCTTTTTGTGTCAATATGCCAAACACTTATTTCTTTTTCTAATTAAGATGAATACTTTCTCCCCTTCAAGATTTCAGAATAATAATAAAACTATTTTTGGAGCTGCCTCTCAAATTCAGTAGCTTAAATTAGGGTTAACTGTTCCAGTTTTTAACATAATTACATTTAAGAGGATTATAATGCTTGATTTCTATTATTTGTCACTTTGGCTTCTTTAAAAGCCCCAGGTTGTAGAGTATACAAACTTTAAAAACCTTAGTTTTCAGGGTTTCTTATTTTTACAACTGAGATCTTTTAGATGTTAGTGGCCAAGACTGCATAGAAGTGAAAACCCTTGAGTATGACAAATAACACTTTTTGGTTTACAATTGAGAATTGCATGGCAAAGCAGGTAATGTATGAATGAGAAAAGTAGGCAATGATAATTTTTCAGTAGTCCATAGGGGAAAAAAAAACTGTTAAGAGGCTATATAAACTAAGTATCCTTGCCCAATCAGAAGAGTTCATTTAACTAAATGTTAAATTCCAGCTTTTCTAAAAACCAGTTTGTCCTTTGTAATTCAGGATCTTCTTGGTATTATAGATTCCTCTAGAAATACACATTATTCCATGTTTGCAAAAAAAGGCCCCTATCAAAGGAAGAGTATACATTTGGAGCTCTATGTATACAGAAACCCTGTCTGGCTTGCTCCACATAGCTGTGGTTGAAAGTTATTTATTCCCAGTCCCCTTGCTTACTTTCGCTTTTTTTTTTTTCTCCATAGTTCTAGGGATAGAATCCAAGGCTTTGTGCACACTGAGCACATGCTTTATCACTGAGGTACACCTCTAGGGCGGCCTCCCTTAGTTATTTTTATAGGGGCAAGCCAGCAAGACTTATGTTGCCAAGACTCTGAACATCATCTTTCTTTCTTTTTTTGTTTATCACAGACTTTCATACCTGTTTTTTTTTTTTAAGTTTTCAACTTTATTTTTATTCTGTTTTCCTTATTTTAACTCCCTCCCTCTTTTATTTCCACTCTTTTATTACTTTTCTTACCCCTTCCTCTGCAGGAGAATCAGCGTATGCAGCAGAAAATAGACACCATGACAAAAGAGGTGTTTGACCTCCAGGAGACACTTCTTTGGAAAGATAAAAAAATTGGGGTATGAGATGAAATTGAGCTTTCATTAGAAGCTCATCTACAAGGAATAGATCAATAGAATTTAACTTAGAGATTTCTGAAAATCTGTCCTTTTGACTGTTCTTGAGCATTTATACATTGTGAAATATGAGTAAGCAAAAGACAGGGGCTTCCATGGGAAAACCTGATACTATGCTTAGAAAGAACTTTTTTTTTCTGGCTAACTCAAGGCTTGTGAAACCTACAAATAAGAACTTCCAAAGGAAATTGTTCTTATGCCCCAGGGATTCTTATCCAAAAGCAGCCACAGGCATTTAATTCAAACTCTTTTGGGTAGTTTGGTATTCTTATATTACAAGAATTTGAGTAAGAAACAAGATAGGGAGTGGGGATGGGGAAAAGTTATTAGCATCTTATAAATACTTGGTGAAAAAAATAGGAAGAGATTAAAATTAGTTTAATTATGGAAGGGGATAGGAATGTAAGATTTGGCTGAGTTGCCAAACTGTGATGCTAACTCTAATTATAAACCGAAAACACCCAAAGCAGAGGCCCAGATAAGGAAATATTCTTTTTTGTTTTGGGGGGGGGGGTTAGCGCTGCAGGTAGATTACAAGTATACTGGAGTCTGAAAAATTCCTGTCCTTATTTCATGTGGTTTTTGATTGGCAATCCCACCTGAGGAGCTTAGGAGCCATTCATACTGTATATACCTGCCAGAGGCTTACCTTGTCAGGGAAGGGCTGTGATGGAAGAAACAGAAAGAACAAATGAGAAAAGTCTTGTTTTACGTGAGGTTAGGTAGAGTAAAGTTGGCAAAGATGGCCCAGAGCACCAATGAGAGACATGCCCAAAAGTGAATCTTCTGGATCATACCTGCCATTGTTGGGGGTGCTCTGAAGCCCAGCTGGTGGTCAGCAGGATCCATTTATTTTTATTACTTAAACTACCCTATCTTCTCATCAATTAACACACAGAAAACCACATTATTTCTTGAGTCTATAGGCCAAAAATTTAAAGAACTAAGGGTAATTTTATATTATTTCAGTTATTGAGTTTCTAAAACTACCCAGACCTTAGCAAACCTTTCTGGGGGACAAATGAACAACAATATTTGAAACTATAATAGTGAACTGCTAATTTTATTTAAATTTTTAGTTGAATTTAAAATGAGGGAAGAAAAATATGTGACACAAAGTAGGCAATTTGTATAGTTAAAATCTATTCATTATCTAGAATAGGCTTCTTTTAGAATATAATTTTCTTTAGTACAGATCTGCAGATCCAGGGTTTCTAATTTGTATAGTTGTCTTAATATTTTAAACTGATTTTATTAGAGTTGCTGTAGTAAAACCTTCAACTCTCAGTCCAGTAAAATAGCTCTTTAAAACAAAACAATTTTTTAAAATTTTTGTTACCATAAAAACATGCTGATGGTTAAGACAGATTACTAAGCTTTTCAGTTGTCTTGACATTATTTGAATGAGTAGAAGCCTTCATTCTGTGGTTATACCATGTGTTTAAAGCTTTGACTTTTTAATATTAAACTTTTTTGGAGACCATTTTAGATTCATACACAACTATGTATATAAAATACAGAAAGATCATGCATACCCTTTGCCTTGTTTATCCCAAATGAAACATATTTCAAAACTGTAGTACAATATCACAACCAGGATATTTCCCTGATACAGTTAAGATAACAAAACATTTCCATCACCTTTCTTATAGCCATTCTACTATACTTGCCCCCCAGTCCTGGAAACCAATCTGTTCTCTATTTCTATAATTTTACCATTATAACATTCTGGATTTACCTTTTTCACTCAGCATAAGTCCCTTAAGATTTATCCAAGTTTAGTGTAATGACAGTTCATTCCCTTTTGTTTTTAATTTGAAAAATTGTGCTAAGATACAATTTACCATCTTAAGCATTTTGAAGTGTACATACAGTTCAGTGGCATTAAGTACATTCACATTGCTGTGCTGGTATCATTACAGTCCATTTTCAGAACATTTTCATCTGTCCGAGCTAATAGTTTGTACCCATTATAAACAATTGCCACCCCCATCCCTTTCCCCTAGCAATCACATTTCTGTCTCTATGAGTTTGACTACTGAGTACTTCATATGAGTAGGATCATATAATGTTCAATTTCATATTTTTGTGACTGGCTTATTGCACTTAGCATAATATCCTTCAGGTTCATAATGTTGCAGCATGTATCAGAGTAAATATTCTTACTCTTTAAGGTTGAATAATATTTTATTGTGTGTATATACCATGTCTCCATTGATGGACATTTGGGATGTTCCTGCTGTTTGGCTGTTGTGAATAATGCTCCTATGAACATGCATATATGATTACTTGGATATGTCTGGAAACCAGCATAAATTCATTCTCGTTCTAATTATATTTGTGCCCTGTGCAATTACATGGCAATTTAACCTGTTGCCCAAAAGTTTAGCCCATTGTACAGACCCATTTGGCTTCCTGATGCTAGAATTTGAGGTTGAGTCTGAAATAAATTATTTAGAACTCCACAAACATGTACTTTTCACCCTAAAGAAAAAAAAATCAGAACTATTGTTGCATGCAAGCACAAGGGTGATGATTATATGGTCAGGTAGTATAGAGGATTTCATCCAGCATGAATACATTTGATCCAATTATAAGTTATTTCAGTAGTTTTCAAATTTTGTGGTGAAATGGACAAATATACAGGAGATATTTTATTTTCCCATCTGTAATTATGGGAAGATGAAATTAAAAAGTCTAAATGTAAAAATAAAACTCAGTGCTATAAAGATGGAAAGAGGGAGTAAATGTCTCGGACTAGCATATGCTAGAACTTCTAGTTTCAAATTGGTCTCTTTCTAGGGGATCTTTTATATTCCATGACACTTTATATAGAGCATGTTGTGGCAGTGATCATTTACTCAGTTACATGTGCTGGTGCTTTGTGCAACCATGCATGCAGATACCAATAAACAAAAGTACCTAAACCTACAGAAATTAAAGTGAGTATGAATAGTTAGGAAAGTATTATTGTGCTTTGTTTTCCCATGTTTCCTTTGTTGTTAATATAGTGGAATGTTAATACTAACTTGATACCTTAAATCCTATATGGTGGTAGAAACTTAAATTATTACTTTAACAGGCAGATTTCAGACACAGATAGTGTGAATATAAATTGTAGAAAGTTAGATGTTGACGTTATAGTTTGGATAAAGAACATAATGCAGCCCATATAGGGCTGTGATATACAAAACTATGCAAGGGGTTTGGAACTAAAAATAACTGAATTCATTTTCTGGCCTTGTTATTTACTGAGACTGGGCAAAAACCAAAATAGAACAAAACACAAACTTCTCTGAGCCTTAATTATCTGACCTGCAAAATGAGGATGAGACAAGTAGTTCATTACAGGGTATTTAAGGGAGGCATTTTATATATATAATAGTATATAGGGGTGAAATTATATATAAATTTATAGAATAGTGCCTGCCTTATAATATGTCCTACACATATGGTAGTTGCTATCATACTGCTCTTCTCAGTTTGGTTGCCAAATAGGATTGCAATGTTTTTTTTTTGGTACCGGGGACTGAACTCGGGTCTTTGTGCTTGCGTAGCAGGTGGCGAAACCACTGAGCTAAATCCCTGGCCCTAAGATTGCAATGATTTTAAAAACTGTCCAGCCACTCTTGAACCTAGTAAGCTAAGAGGAGTTACCTGTTGTAATTTAACTTCTTCAGTTAATGGGAATGCCAGTAGAAAACACAAATACAAGAACATATATGTAGAGAAAGGCTTTTATGAAAAACAGCCCAGCTGTCAGATTTCTATTTGGACTACTTGACTTGATTATGCTTTTTAAAGTCTGGGTTATTTATTTATTTATTTGTGTACCGGGGATTGAACTTGGGACCTTGCGCTTGTGAGGCAGGTGGTGGCACCACTGAGCTAAATCCCGAGCTGGGTTATTTTATTATATAGTTACAGTAGACTTGATTTGTCCCTGATGACCAAAGTAGGTCTCTGCTTCTGCACTACCTTCTCAACTCTGGGAGTTGTGAGATTCAGGATATGACAAGGAATTCCCAGTGAAACAAAACACTGGTTTCCCTGAGATGTATCCTGTCATTATAAACTGCAGGCAGTGCTCTACGCTGAGTTCTCTGTTTAGCTTCTATTTATGGGATGGATGCTGCTGTTATCCTTTGTTTTTTCCTGATGAGGAAATTGAGGCATAGGTAAATTAAGCATGTGCCAGGACCCAGGAACTTGATTCTGAAATCTATAATCTTCTACCCACCCAGGTGGGCTATATTTTGTCCAGTGTTTTTATTTTTGTTTTTCACACTTTGAAAGTATTTCAGAAAACCAAGTAAGTCTTAGTTGAATCTTCTTGGAGATTAGCTATATTTGGATTAAGTGGTATTTAAATATTTTGTCATGCTACTTGGAGAACAGCCATACAACAATATTTAATTAAAATAACATGCATACTAGTTATTTTTCTTCCAGAGCCATTTTTATTTATTTTAAAAACATTTTAGTTGATATATTTCTGAATAAAGTATTTTAGTTAAACATGAAATTAAGTTTTTTGCTTACCAAATGAAAATATACTCAGGAGTTCAGCAAGGAAATTTGAACTCTTTGTTGTTGTCTTCATCTTCCTTTTCCTGTTTTCTTCATTGACTGGAAAAGAAAGATTTGTCCTCCTGCTTGATGTGATAAGCATGTATTGCAAAATTTATGCACGAGAACCAGTTGCTACTAAAACCTTCTGGAAATGTATCATCCACATACAAATAACTGTTTCCTCCCTTGATTGCTTGCCTCCAAGCTTTTAACTGCTTCCTTGCTTTTTATGCTTTTATCTTTGCTTATTTGGATTAGTTACCTTTCACTTGCTCTTTTTTCTGTGCCATTCTTCCCTTGCTACCCTGCCTAATACCAGGCTCTAGAGAAACAGAAAGAATACATTGCCTGCCTTAGGAATGAGCGAGATATGCTCAGAGAGGAACTGGCTGATCTGCAGGAGACAGTGAAGACAGGAGAGGTATGTTAGTATGAGCCTGGAGCTCAGATCCCTTACTGCTTTACTCTGTCTTCCTTCCTTTCATCCTGTTATCTTTCTTATCTTGAATACAATTCTGATATGGTATATTAAGTCATTTCCTTCACAGAGGTATTTTCTACATAGCTATTTCTAACTAGGTTTTACCTGTGGCAAACACATTATTGCAGAGTTACATCACAGAGCTTCCTGATTCCATGTGAGCCATCTTTTGTGATGGTGGGTTTTTTTTTTTTTTCTCCTTTTCTTCCACACAGAAACATGGCTTAGTTATAATCCCTGATGGCACTCCCAATGGTGATGTCAATCATGAACCAGTGGTTGGAGCCATTACTGTTGTGTCTCAGGAAGCTGCTCAGGTCTTGGAGTCAGCAGGAGAAGGGCCACTAGGTAAGACACTCTTGCATTTTGTCTTGGATTAATGTTGGGCTTCCAGCTTGTTTATATCCCAGCTTGGAAAACAAAAACAGCATATAAAGGTCATCTGACCGAGACTTGCCTGCATCTTTAAGAAGTATCTGGACATGCTGTCTTCAGACATCCTTGATCTTGCCAGGTTATGAGTCATTACAAGATAGTAAGCATAGCTATCAGGCCCCCGAGTGGAAGCACTATGGGTCTGTACATAACTGCATTTCACTTAATACAAACTTTCTGCAAAGAGAGAGTTTAGCATGCTCATGCTAGGGAAGCTGTGAGCTGGGAAGATACTTTCCAAGTAGGTTTGTAAGTTCTTCTTCCTGAGCATCTGGTTTTGTTCCACTACTTATCCCAGGGTTTCGTAGCTCTTTGCCACCACATTTCAGAAGAAATAGGTGATCATGATAAGTTTTAGAGGAGTGTAACTCCCAGATAAAGGCTTTTCAGCCTCTTAATATTTAGGCCTCTTAAATGTAAATCTTCCCAGGAAACCACACAGGTCCTCATCCGTTGCTACCACTAAGAGTCCTACTCTAGGGGATGAAAAATAGCAAATAGATAATGTATCATCAGCTCATTTTTATTTACTGCAAGCCATTCTGTTTTTCCTTTTCTGTTTTATGTATGTGTAGGTTTCCTACAGGAATGGGAGGTACTGTAGGAGTGGCACAAGCTGAAAAAAAATTTAAAAACAATTTACTAATGGCAGAATTCCAGGAATATAATTAGTTATAGAGCACTTCGATAAAACAGAGGATGCTAGGTGAGTGAGAAGGAAGATCTAGAATATGAAATGAGTAGATGGCCATGGGGAGCTCAGGGTGTTTCCTTCTGCCTGTTTGGAAAATGCTGAAGAAACCAGAACACATTTGGCTGTAACCTTCGTTAACTGTCGGTGGTTGTAGATCAGATGTCAGCTACTTCTTTTACTGAACTAGAGGTATCTCCTCAGCCTATTAGGCCTGTTTTAATGCCTACTTGGGAAGAAGCAATTCTCTCCATAGGCCAGGAGGTAGACCCCATAACTCTGCTCCCCAGCCTCAGTTTGCCCTTGGCTATCCTCATCTTAGAGATGATTTCTTTCTCTTCACCCACTAGCATTTGTGGAACTTGCTTCTTTCAGCATTGTTTTCCTCTATTTTCTTTGCTCTAGCTTCCTCCCACCATGCCTTTTTATTCTCTGGCTTCTTTCACTTGTTTCGAGTTCTCCTGCTAAGGGTATAAGCCTGTGAAAATGCTGTTAGCATTTCAGGTGTCTTCCGCTGGTGAATGCTTGCAATTTTTTGAAAGAAGAGAATGGCTTTTTTTGTATTTGAGTTTATCTTTATGTGGAAAAATCATTGTTTTGGGAACAAATGTATTTGGTGCCCTGATAAATATCGGTTGTGTGGAAGTACATTTGGGATAATTAAATACTCTTCTGCAATGCTATTAAAGCCTTTATTTTTATTGTCAGACTTATAAGTACGTCATGAGATGTTTGCTACTTAGGACTTTGGGGAATTCTTTTTAATTGTTTATTTGTAATTGCATTACAAATTTAGTTTGCAACTCTTTTTTTTTTTTAGATGTAAGGCTACGAAAACTTGCTGGAGAAAAGGAAGAGCTATTATCACAGGTAAAGGCATTCTTTTTTTTAAAAAAAAAA